GTTTAAACATATCAGTTGTAGTCGATAACGATTGCCAGTGATGGTTTCGGACGGTTTGAGCAGCTCATAATATATAACACCTCTCTGATCCCACCAGATGCACAACATAATCTTCGAAGCATGGATATTTCGTTTTGGCGTTGATGGACCTGGTTCACCTGGCATCACCCATGCTTTCAAGCGTTTAGGGTTATCATTCCCATTGCGTGTAGACGTTTTCCAACAGTGGATCTATCAACATTTAACTCTTTTGACAACCTATCGAGCGATAAACATGAATCTTCTTCGAGTAATGCTTGCAATTCTACATCTTCAAATTTTTTCGGTGCACCTTCGCGTTCTTTGTCACGCACGTCAAAATCACCACTGTTGAATAGCCGAAACCATTCTTTACAACTGGTTTTCAATGGAGCATGCTAACCGTAAACATCTACGAGCAAACGATGCGATTCTGCAGCACTTTTCTTTAAAATAAAATAATGGAATAAAACTTCCCGCAAATGTTGCTTTTTTGGAATAAATTTCGACATCTTCAACGCAAAAAAAGTTACTCTTTTTTACGCTTCGAACGAATGCCAACTATTGGACTCAAAAGTTTGAACACAAACCTTTCAAACACATGTGTTGCCGTTCTGTCAAACACACAAGTAATGCTACTAACGACATCTTTCTACAATGGGCGGAAACTTATTCCCATACCCAATATAATAGTAATAAGGCTGAATAAATTTAAAAAAAATTGAAAAAAAAAGGGCTACGAGCCTAAGAGTTAGTCGTTAGAAATAGAAATTTCAAAAAACACAGTATAAATATGTCATTTAGTCAGAATATAAAACTTTAATGTACCGGCAATAAACAATATAACACAAAGAAACGTTTCGATCCCTGTTGGATCATTATCAATATTAAATGCACAAAAATAGAACGGTGAAAATATTACAAAGTTAAAATTTATAAAAATTACAATTCGCTCTTAATCACAAGCAAAAATATAATAAAACTCACAGTAGTTAATATAATAAAATTCGCTCAGAATGAGTTAGAAGTTATGTGAACGTTGTAATAGGTAACTATATATGCTTCTGGTTATCAGTTATAAAATAAAAATAATTCGTATCTGTTAAAAAGAACGTAAATATTTTAAACATATAATATTGAGTATATAAAATGAAACGCAAAGTATAAAAATATAATATATGTGACAAAGAATAAAATTAAAAATTGACAATAAAAAACTATTCTAAGATTTAACAAGCAGAAAACAAATTATTCAGTCGTAATAATAAAAAATTATATGATATCTAGTTAATAAGTAAAATATATATA